GTGGCTTGGGGCCACCACTCATTCAGCTGCCCTGCCCGGTCTCTGGGCATGTCTGTGTACCCATCTAGGCTGCATTCTCACTTCTCCTGCGTCCCTGTTGTATGACGCCACTTCAGTAGTTTGACTGAAAGGACATAACTTCGTATATCGGACACACTGTGCTATGGTAGCCAGCGGAGTATAACTGAAGCCACCAAGGCTCTGAAGAAATTTCACAAGACACTCCCTCGCACCTGATACATTCATCGGTGCATATATAAAGACAACAGCATAACTCTCTTTCTCAAGCTGCATACTAATCCAGACATTTACCAAGTTAGAGGCATGGAGGAATTCATGTATTTTAGTCTATTTTATGACCAAGTTGTTAGGAGAGTATGCAAGTAGAGTAGTAAACAGGGACTCTTGGGACCTACTATGTTCAAAAAGTGCTAGTACAGATTGACAGCGTAACAGGGATAGCGAGGTCTGAATAATTGGCGTCACAAGGGGGAATCAGATTGACCACTCTGGCAATATTACGACTGCATTATCTACCTTGTGGATCCATCGTAATTCCACAGGGATGATCGATTATAAATGCACCGATGAATGAGTCTTGGCCACTTAAATGAATCGCTGCTGGATGCAGTAATAAAAATTGGTAACTATGATGCATTAAGAACCTTCGACTGTTAACTGTTAAAATGGTCCTGTTACGCCGTGATCTACAAAAGAATTCAGGGTGACCTGGATGGCGACTATGCTTCAACCGAGATATTGCCCACTCGATTGTAACCCATATTTATTTAACAATAATGATGCATTATTCTACCTTTGTTTCTGATTTGTTTGTCTTGGGTATTTAGTTAGGGAGGCCCCAGGTGAGTCATGCAACATCCACGGTAACGAATAGCATTTTCTACAAGATGCTCTACTTTGTATGAAAAACATATAACAAAAGGTCCTCAACACTACACCCACTGCCTTCAGGATATACCGAGTAGGCGCTAATGTGTTGCTTCTTAGTCTCCACTGCTCATCCTATGTGCATTTGCCAAAACATTCCTTTCCTGCAACGTATGCTGTACTATTAATAAAGCACTGCTCTGAGGAAGCACTGAGGAAGGCATTAGTGCTACCTGAGTACATTGTTATGTGCGCTGATGGATGGGTGAATGGATGGAGGTGTGAACACAGAGAGAAATTAAGGTTTATAAATCTGCGCCTCGTAGACTATATAGACGTAAAAACGAATCATTGTGCTTACTAGGTGGGAGGTGTGGCAAACAAAATCTATTATCGTACCGGTTTGCAAGAGACCTTACCTCTTCTCCCACAAAATAATAAGCCAATCAAGCATGTTTCAACTTACCATACATGCATTAGCTTTCATTGTTTTGCATGCAACTCGTATGGAAACTGTGCGCAAAGTGCACCGTAATTAGATTGGAGTGAATTGCTTGGGCAGGGTAGTATTTAGATAGAGTTAGCACAACTAAAAATGCCTTACATGATTTCACCTTAAGCATATCTCATCGACAGACAAGTGATCCTCCTTTCAGCTCAAAACACGACTAGGTAGCTGGATGCGAAATACTGTGCTGATGTTATAAGTAACATTGCACTAATAA